AACACCAGGTCATGAAACAAGTAAGGGAAGAAAAGAAAGATGGTAAATTAAACCACGATATGAAAAACAAAACAGATTACAGAATAAAACATTACCGAGGTATTTTGTTAACTACTAAAGAAAAATAAAAGATCAGATAAGCTAATACTTGTATAACTTCTTACTAAATCCCGTACCCACAATATTATCACATACTAAAATTTCCACTTATATTTTTGCTTTAGTTATGTGTGTTTCTTGTAAGAAATGTTTCACTATTGATTTTATTTTTCCGAAAAATAAAAATAAATAAATAACACGTGTTATAGATTTGCTAACAATACTGTTCCAAAAGCTTCATTTCGTATGAATTTTAGCCCAAGGCTATGCAATGGGCTATCTGCGTTCTGCCCACTATGAAGAACTGAACCCTGGATTTTAACGTTGTAAGTCCACAACCTTTATACCCAACCAGGGGTGTGTGTGCTAGAAGATACTAAAAAGCTATTGTATTATTTTATCTAAAGTCGTGACTTAAGCTATTTTTTATTTAGATTTTACTTTATTATCTGTTGAGGTCATTTAAATCCATACTTGAGGTTTTCCTGTACGCTATATCTGTTTTCATAATATTTCCATTGTCTGTCCGTACTAATATCATCAGCACTATGTCTCCATTCTGTCGTTATATCCAACCTCAAACAATCGAAACATGACCCCATTATTGTTCTATCTCAGACAATCGGAATATGACCTCATTATTGTTCTATCTCAAACAATCGGAATATGGGGGTATGTGGATGACACTTACTACTGTCAAGAACTCAGCTTATGGAGTACATAAATAGCAAATTGAAGCATTATTGTTGACAATCATCATGAATTTTTAGACAGTTCATAACTGTGATGGTGACTTTGAATGCTAAGTTCACCAAAAGAGAAAACAAAACATTTACTGGCCTGTATATTTATTTTACATAAAAAGTTCTAGTACCCATGCATTGTTGTTTAAAGAGATTGATCACACACCAGAATGGTTATTTGAGAGAATATTTCAGACTTTTTGGACAAATAAAACATCAAAAAAACATTAATATAGGAAGTTCCGAAATGTTTGCTCGTTGTTAAGCACAAAGCTACACAAAAGACCATCTATGCTGTGTCCATCTAAGCCAGAGTTTTAGCGTTATAAGCTCTCAGTCTTATCGCTGAACTTCTGGGGGGAGAGGCCTCCAAAATGTTATAATTTTTTCACATATTGATTAGTACTCTTCCTATGTAAAAAAAAGCAGCTTCGAACCCTACTTCATAAAGTTTTCAATTGCATAATTTCTGTAGATACTCGTCCTAATGATGGTAACTGTGTTATCGAAACTAGTCGGCTCTGACTAATAATAAATATATTACCTTTCATTGTAACCAAAAAAAAAAAAAAAACGTCGGTTTTTTACTATTGATTCTCAAGTACAATTAAGATATAGTATTAATGCAGGATGTCATATGTTGCATTTCTTCAGATATAAATACGTTTATTCATTGATTGTCGGTTTCTTATCCTTGTTGCAGGCAAGACTACATAGAAAGCTGCTGATACGAAAGAAAGAGAATGTAACTTTAAGAACACCACATAAAACAAAGGTATTACAGTAGAACACGACGCCAGATAAGAGTGTTATGTTAAGATCTTAACAAAAGCCAATGACGAACAAAAGATAACGTGCTCAATAACCTTGCACAATGTCCTGTCACACCACAAAGCTTCTGTATGGCTTCTGGTACTCTTTTATGATCCAGCATCTTGATACTCACAAGGGTGTGCTGAAACGCAGAATCTATGACAAAGTTGC